AGGGTGGAAAGTTTGAGGCCAGCTTCAGTAACTTAGGAAGACCCTGTTTCAAAATTTTAAAAATGCAAAATGGCTGGGGATGTGGCTTAGTGTTTAAGCACTCCTGGGTTCAGTCCCTTGTACCAAAAAAGGAAAAAACAAAAAAACACCTGTGCTCTAAGGAGGCATCCATGGGGGTAGTACTACGACTGGTTCATCAGGAGGGCCAAGTGGGAAATTCTGTAGGTATCTGAGACATATTTACTGTGATTGCCCAGAATTATTACGGTGGTGGAGGCTGGGGTAGGTGTGCTCATTGTATTCCATAAATTGGCAAGAAAATTAGATTTTATTTAAAGCCCAGCTTTAAAGGAAGATAGAGGAAACTTTTATGTTACAAATTTGCATCTTGACAAACCTGAAGAGCTGGAAAAGCTTTTATTAGAGGTGACAAAGTGGGGCAAAAGGCAAGAAATATACATGTGTAGATTTAGTTAGACTGTGCTGGACAGGGAACGTGTCAGTGGGTCAAGAGGAGTAAATTTCTATTCTCAGCTTCCTTGGTGTGTCCTTGGAGTTGGGGAGGAAAAATTCTTCAGTCGTACACTGAATATGAGGAAGTTGCCCCTAATTTCAGAAGGGCTCTCTATTTCATAGGGAGTCTGCTTTGCTGCAATCTAGCAAAGCCTCTTCAGCATGATCTTTCACCTTGGCTAGTTTTTGAGATTAGAGGCAAATGAAAAAAAAAAATTTTTTTTTTCTCCAGAAAGGATTTATTGTGACAGAGGAAAAACAAATGAGACTGACCTTGAGACAAGAACCTAGGAGGAGGTCCCAAGAGGAAATCCTGCTTATGGTCAGCAAAAAAGGTGTCAGAGTATCTGGCACAACCTTTCCCCTGTCCTTGAGCAGGGTGGGGACTCCACATAGGAAGGGAAGAGAAGAGAGAGGGATCAGAGTACAGATGTGTTGTTTCTATTCCACGAAAGGGCACTGTTTCTTATAATCCAGGTGACCTTAGGGAAGGGAATCCCCTTAATTTGTTTTTGCTGGGAGTATACCAGGTTTGTCCTCACAGTAACCTCCCATCCTGCTGCGGGAAATCCCCAACTCCAGTGCAGATTATTTTCTTCCCTTTTCCTTCCATGGAAACAACAAAACATGTAAGAAGAGCAGGACTATAAAAATAAAGGTATGCATTTGAACTCTCGCTGACCAGCTGTTACTCATTCATATGACTGTGGGTGAGTTGATGACTTGTTTATCAGCAAAGATACTACATTTAAGAGTCTTATGAAGTTCCTGAAACATAAGTACTCACTAAACATTATTCACTTATTTATTCATTTATTAATTCATCATGGATTTAGTAAATATTATTTCCTGTGCCAGACAGCACTAAAACAGACTGAATTTGGGGCTTCTCTGAAATTAAGAGCAACTTCTTTACCATGACCTAAGAATGGAAGCTCAGGGTCTGTTCCCCTGAAGAAGCTGAGAATGGAGATTGTCCCCTCCCCAGGTGAGTCTAACACAGGCTAAATCTGCACAGGTACATGTCCTGCCCTTGGTCTCACTTCCCTGCTGCTGCTTCTTTAAAAGCTTTCCTCTCCTTTTGAGATTTCAAAGACGGAACTTTTGAAATAAGTCCCTTCTACCTTCCTTTAAAGCTAGCTGGCTTTGAAGAAAACCTATTTTCCAACTAATTTAACTCCGAATATTTTTGGAAGAGTGAGTGTTACTGTAGCCTAGCCTCTTCCCCTGGTCTATTATTGATGCCTCAGCACTAGAACAGAGCTGAGGATAGAAGTTCACTAAAACACAATCACAACCCTTCAGATTCCTACTCCCTTCAGACAAGCATATGGTCCTGCTGCTTGGAAAATGTGCCCTAAAAGTTTTTTGTAGGAAGTATGGGAGGACAGAAGAGGGTCACATAACCCCAAATTAGAAAGGAGTAGAAAAGATTTCCTGAAGGAGATGCTGCTTACACTGTGGGTTCACATACTTTGATGGTGTGAAGATAGACTTGGGGAGAAGGCATGCTCACTGGTTGAGGATGTGAGAAGGCTTAGTGTGTTCAAAGATGTGCAAGGAATTCAAGGAACCATGAATGGATGCAGCTATGTAGAAATCTGCAGCTTCTGTTGGAGCCATGAGCATAGATCTGGTGGCAGTAGGAGATCAATATCATTCTTAGGAAATGTCATCCCCAGGAATGGAGCCCTGGAATGCATCCTCCTGGTGCCTCTGGCCAGTGTTCCTGCTGCCTCTGATACTGCACTTGCTGGCACCAAGATACTGTCAGGAACTGAGGCAAGAAGGACAGAGAATGAAAGGGCATGAGGAGAGAATGATCTGATTTGCAGCAGCTTTACCACCTACTCTCCCTCTCCCTGTTGACTTCCAGCAATGATATGAAGGTGTAAAAGTAAAAGAAGTTTACTCAAGTCTGGGTTTGTGTAGCTTTTCCTTTCTTTTCTTTTCTTTCCTCCTCCTCCTCCTCCTCCTCCTCCTCCTCCTCCTCCTTCTTCTTCTTGGATCAGCAAGCTTTACTTTATTCAGTATTCAGCGGCAGAGTCAATTGGTCAAACATCTGGCATGGCTCATTTTTAGGGCAGAAAATGCCTTTTCCTTTCTTTTCTTCCAGGCCCTTTCTCCATCCCTACTGTACTGCATGGCTTTCTGTTTCCCATTTGCACTTAACCTGAGTTGACATTTTTTGCCTGGAAACTGGGGACGTTTCAGAATGTCCAAATCCTATTGGACAGCGGATGCAGGGCAGCCAAAGGTCAGCACCTTGATTTTTTAATCACAGGATAACATGGACCTGAAGCGAGATCTGAAATGAGAACAGCAGGGTCCAGTGGTTTCTGATATATTTCATCAGCATTCTTCCCCTCATACTTATCCTACGTGCTTAAAACAGTTGTCCAAGTGTTGGGGATGTAGTTCAGTGCGATGGTTCTTGCTTATTGTGCATGAGGTTCTGGGTTCCATTCTCAGAACTGGGGGAAAAAAAGTAAATACAGTCCAAAAAATACATAAAAACACTTAAGTAATAGTCTTTCTACTTTTATTAACTATTTAATATTATAATAAGAGCTTCACAAGAAAGATGTGATTTATATTAGGCTTTTTAGGTATTGGAATGAACTGTTGGATTTCCTTACTCTCTATGGGCACTTCTGTAAATCCAAGTTCTCTGGGATGGAGCCCTTCTCCCCCAGAATAAAATGAGATCATTTAAGATCTATCATTTAGTGAAGGTACAATAGGTAGCCACTACAAACACAAAAAACAAAGATGATACATTGGAATTTTTATAGGCTTCTTACTTTGAAAAATCAAAGCACTTTAAATAAATTTTTAAAAACTGTTGGCTCCATGGCAATGTCCTGAGAGTTTGTGAAAAGGCAGTGATACATTTGGAATGTCAGAAGGAGGGAGTGATGGAGTTAATTTCCTGAAGCTACATATTTCATGCATGCTCCTTTGGTCTCAATCCAAATCTGAAGAATGAGGGAGTTTGCAGTGCCTTTAGGTATCTCTGAGCTCTCAGTTCTAAGGAGCTTCCAGGAATAGAGGTGGAGAAATAAAAGCACTGTGGTATAAGTGTGTATGTGGACCGTTTTGGTATGTGGAAGGTGGAAGTCAGCAATTATTTGTTGGTTTAAGATTGTTCTGACATGGTGTACTTGGTTTGTAGAAAGTGTGTGGGAGAACTTAAGACCCAGGAATCCCAAATTCTTTGTAAATCAGGCACAGTGGCACACACCTGCCATCCCAGTGACTTTCAGTAACTGGAGAGGCTGAAGCAAAAGGATCACAAGCTTGAAGTTGGCCTGGAAAACTTAGCAAGACCCTTTAAAAAAAATATATATATATATATAATACATATATACATACATACACACACACATATATATGTGTGTGTGTGTGTGTGTGTGTGTGTATGTATATGTATATATATATATATATAAATGTTTTTAGCAAGTTTTTCTAAGTCTATAAGACACTTAAGAATCCTCTCCAAACATCTCATTTTATTTTTTTTCCAGTTTTCATATTTTATTTTTTTTGTATTACAATTCTTATTACACATATAGAGCACAATTTTTCATATCTTTATATATAAAGTATGTCCACATCAATTCATGTCTTCATACGTGTACTTTGTTTTTTTTTGCATTACATTTCTTATTACACATATATACCACAATTTTTCATAACTCTGCCAAACATCTCATGACAAAAAAACCATCAGTTAAAAGAGATGAGCCAGGCACAGTGGCGCATGCCTGTAATTCCAGTGGCTCGAGAGGTGGAGGCAGGAGGATTGAAAGTTCAAAGCTAGCCTTAGTAATTTAGCAAGGTGCTAAGCAACTCAGTGAGACCCTGTCTCCAACTAAAATACAAAATTGCGCTGGGGATGTGGCTCAGTGGTCAAGTTCCCCTGAGTTTAATTCCCATGGTGAGAGAGGGTGGGGGGAGAGATTTGCCTGATGTAATGTAGCATGTGGCACCCTCAGGACTTGAACTCATGTCTCATTTCAGGATTATTTTTCCTGTGTCTTCTCCAGGTATATTTCATGTATCCTGCCCAGCTAGAGTGAACAGGCATCCTGCCCAGCTAAAGTGAACAGGCTATTCACAGCCACATCACTCCACATCAGTCATGACTGTCACCACCTGGGTGGTCTTGCTCTCAGGAAGGCAGTGATTGATGGAGTGTTCCTAAGAGCAGCGGGAGAGGGTAAACAATATCACAGATATTGAAGACAGTGAAGGACCAGGGCTGCAGAGTAGATAGTCACAGGCAGAATCAAGAGTGCATAGGGGAAGGAAAAAATTCTCAGCATCCAAGGGCCATCCATGCTTAGAACAAGCAGAGCAAATGGGTTGCCCCAGGGGAGAAAGTCCTGAACAGAGAGTATTCTTTGTTTATCAACTCCACTCCAGCAAAAGTGAAAGAAAATTCAGGAGAACATTCAAGACCAAAGGGCACAGCCATGATGGACACTACAGCAGTCTAGCAGGGGATTTCCAACTCAACTGCTCACATATAAGCTGGACACAGGGTCCCTTTTCTCACTCTCCTGTCTGTTCCCTTGATTGCAGAGATGGCTGCCTGTGAAGTACTTTCTGTAAGTTGGGATTTGATAAAGAGACTGGGGAAAGGAAAATTACTTCCAAGAGTTGAGGAAACATCTAAGGAATAGAGGAAGGACTGTGCTCTGGAAGTGAGGTGGCTGGGAGGCATCGTGAAGGAGTGGAAGCAGATGCTGATAGCTGCTGGGAAGGAAGGTACTCTGAAGAGAAGCCAGTCATCTGGTTACATGGCTCTAGAGTACTCTTTTGAATCAGAACTTGGACTGGCTGCCCTTAGGGAGAACTGGTAGTGTAATGTGGAACTTGGTTGGATGAGTTCTTTGTCTCCTGAATTCAAAGAATGAAATCCATGAATACAAGGGTGAGCAAAGTCACAGGATTTGTTAGAGTAATAGAAAGAAGAAAGAAAGCAGAGCTCCCAAAGGGGATGGTGTTCCAAGAGAGGGCTGCTAAAGGTGTCTATTGTCTAGGGGCTTATATGAGTCTACAGGGTTAAGGAAGTTAGTCTCTGGCCCAATTCTGGGTAAGGCACGCAGGGCCCATGAGCTCTCATGAGCCATTTGGTCCAATCAGGTTACTGTGCCGTTTTTGGGAGGGGTTCTGGGAACTAGGCAATAGCTGTCTCACTATTAGTTTTTCTTCTTACGTAAGAATGAGCCTGACGTTGATGAGGCCTAATTTTTGTCTGTGGTCTCTCAGCCTTGCTACACTAAAACCTGCCCTTGAAAGGTCCCAAATTTCCTATCTTTCTATTCCAGTCTTTTCTCCTACCTTAGTAGAAATTGAGGGAGGGAGGATTATGCTCAACAGGAATGGAAAGAGTTGAGATTTTAAAATATTACCAGAGTTCTTAAACTTAACTTTCCCTCTTTTCCTAAGGAGAGTTGATGGAAACTCATTTACCTTTTTGTTAAAAACCTAATATATGACATTAAATAAGAATATATAGAGAGGCTGGGTGTGATGGCCCACATCAGTGATCCCGGTTGCTCAGGTGCCTGAGGCAGGAGGATTTCAAGTTGGATGCCAGCCTGGGCTGCTTAGCAAGACTTGGTTTCAATAAATTTTTTCAGAGGTCTTGGTACAACACTTGCTTAAAAAGCCTAAGGCCCTGGCTTCATATCCTAGGTACTGAAAAAAAAATGATTCTCAAGGCCAGAAGATATCCTCTGTGACTATTTAAAAGAACACCGTACTAAGGATAAAACACCTCTGTATTGTTAGTTTCTTTCTTAATATGCCATTGCTTTATAATAGCTTACATATTACAGTGATACTATGCTCAGTGTTATTTGTTCATCTATATTTCTTGTATTTTTATACATATACCTACTGTATTGTGGTATATGATCTTTTAAAATTAGACCAGGGCCTCACTCACAGAAGGTAGCACTGTACCTAAATCTTGCTACAATTACAGGGAAAATATGAAAGATAGACAAGATCACCCCTGTATAGCCTGAGAAAACATCTCCTATATGTCACACAAAAATATCTAAATCAACCTAGATGCTACACCTGTTTGTTCACTGTAGTGTCTCTTCTCTATGTTAAGCATTGCCCATTTTCCCATGAAGCTGCCAAGTCTTAGAAATTTGCTTTGGGAGTTATTTTCAGAATCTTTTGTACATCTTTTTGAAGCTTTGTATGGTTAACTTTTGACACTTGACAAACTTGATCACTAGATAGGTGAGGCAGGTAAAATAAGGTGGGAAATAATTCATTGCATTTTGAGATGGATAAGAGGTATTGTTCAAAAGGAATGAGACTAATGTTCATGTTTGTGTTATAATCTGGGAAATCCCAAACAGAAATTCCAAGGGGAGGAGGGATACAGATAATTGGAGAAGAGTTGGAGAGCCACACAGACAGTGGAAGGGTAGGACAGCAATTAGGGTGAGAAAGCAAGAGGTTATAAAAAGTGGCAGTTATTTTAGGCAATGTATTGTGGTTTTCTTTGCCCAGGTGAATGTCCATTCTGAGGAAAGGCCCTTAATGACCTTTCCTGCCAGCTCGAAAGACAGAGTGAAGAAGATCAATGAACACATCAGGTCGAAGACTAAGATTCCTGTTCAGGACCAAGTCCTTCTGCTGGGCTCCCAGACCCTAGAGCCACAGAAACCACTGTCATTTTATGGTATTGACAAGGAGAACACCATTCACCTCACCCTGAAGGTGGTGAAGCCCAGTGACAAGGAGCTGCCTTTGTTTGTGGTGGAGGCAACAGATGAGGGGCAGAGGCACCTCCTGCAGGTGCGAAGGTCCAGCTCTGTAGCCCAGGTGAAAAAGATGATTGAGACTGTGTCTGGTGTGACTCCTGAGACCCAGATTGTGACATGCAATGGAAAGAAACTGGAAGATGGGAAGATCATGGCGGATTATAGCATCAGAGAGGGCAATTTACTCTTTCTGACACGCTTTTGTATTGGGGGTTGACTATCTTGGGGACGAGGTGGTTACCCAGAGTAGAGTTTATTTTCTTAGCTCTTACTCAGCAACAACATTTTTCATGATTTCCCAAAATTAATGAGAATGAGAGAATAGAGGAAGTTTGGGGGGTGGGAGGTAAATTCTACCATAATTGTTATGATTCTACCATAATTGATGGCAGGATTGTTACTAAGAATAGAAGATAATGTTTTCATTTTAGAGATAGCATTCAAAGCTGACTTGAAATTTATGTTGTCCAAATCCCCATTTCCTTTCCAGTAGGATAAGATATTAAGTTTAGGTTGTGATACAATTCTACTGATTTTTTAATGTTTATATATCAAGCTTAGTGCTTTATCTGTAATATCACTCAATAATCAATGAACCAAAATAAATTTCCACTTATTATGAATTAACTTTTTTTACTTCAACATGATTACAATCCAATTAATAAGTAATTTAGAAATTCAATCTAATTGCACTTTTCTTATTTAAAGTTTCTTGGTATGAAATGAAATCTGGCACCATGCTCCTTTTTCTCCATGTCCCATGCCCAATCAAAATTCTTCTTATTTCTAGAAGCAGGAATGGAAAGATAGTTTCCATGGGGATCTAGAGATTTTGTATCTCTAGGGGTGGCTTCTTGCAGGTAGATATGCTTCTGTAGGGAATGGGATTCCTGAAAGTTGGGGGATGTGTACCAGTGTTGGCTCTGCTGGCCTTAGGTTCTAGGTTGGGCATTCGGCTCTAGATGGAGGAGGCTAGGGTTTGGCTTCTGTCTTTACCCCAATGTTCCCTTCATCACTCTGCTCCTTTCTTGGGAACTTGGTTTCATTCCTACCTCTAATGTACTGCTCTATCTCATTCTTTATTTTATTTATTTATTTTTACATGGTGTTGAGGATCAAACCCTGTGCCTTACTACTAGGCTAGCCCTCTACCACTGAGCTACAACCTCAGCCCCCTCATTGTCTCTCTCTCTCATGTTTCATTACTGATCACTTGTAGGTTTTTCTTACAACCCCAAACAAGCCTGCTTTCTTCTCCATCAATTCTGGTTCCTTCTTTTCTTTCAAACTTGTTGAAGACCATCTCATGCAAGAGAGTTTCTCCATGTTTAATCTCATTCAGCATAATTCCCCAAATTAATGACTGTTGCTCATAGCCTATGAGCCATACCGCTATGGTGGGTACTGGCCACCTGTCTAGGTCTGCATTAGGTTGGGCTGGTTTCCCAAAAGAAAGGCCATGGTCCTTTTTCTGGATGGGTAGGGCCTATACTTTCCTTTGTTAACTTGAGAGATGACTGATGGCAGAGCCCTCAAAATCTTCCATAGTCTTCTATCAGACTGCCAGAAAACATCCTGTTGTTCATCATCTTGACTGCATGTGAACTCTTGAGTATCTCCTGAGGATGAGGAAGTCCAGGCCATCATGTTTCTTTTCTTCATTGGTGTAGGAGAAAGCCTGCAGGTGTTTTCCACTGGGGGTGTGGAGGGAGTGTATTTGCATATATATGATACAGGCATTTTCTCTGAAGAATTTGACCCTTACCTGGTAAACAGAGGGTGCTAAGAGCCAAGTATATGATGCATGGCATTTTTGGTTTAAAGGTGATGCCAGCTAGCCATTGAGATTATATGATTATGTTAAGATTTGCATTCATATGGATATTGGACTCCTGCTGTTCACCTCAGCCTGCTATGGGACTCCTGGAGAGTTCCCATTGGTTGGGGAAGTACAGTAGGAGGGAGTTCCGGGGGAGGAACTCTCTCTGGCGGTTCAGGGAGGAGGTTGCGTGGGTGGATCGGAAATCTTCGGGTGCCTACTGGACATTGGCGGCAGTTTCAAAATAAAGTTTGTTCCTGCTTGAGTGGCTTGTGATTTTGTGCCCAGCCAGACTGCGGCAGGAGGGAATCTCCCTGCAGCCTTAGTCTCCCTGAAAACAAATCTTGTTGATTCTTTTAAAGAAAATGAACGCCTGAAGGCCAAAGTGACAGATTGTCTATTGGGCATTTCCATCCATGAGACCAGGGATAAAACATTTTCCCCTTCCCAAGCCACTTACTGCCTGGCTTGAGCTCTCCCCCAGTCTCCCCAGGAGCCTTCTGGGTGCCCCCTTCACTTTCTTATTCCAGAGAGTGTGTGACCACAGTGTAGAAGAGCAACACGAATTTGCTGGGCCCCTGGTTGTAGCTGTGAGTGGGCTGCAGGTAGGTGTAGATTGTGGAATCATAGAACAGGCAGACGGCTGTCAGGTGGGAGCCCACACGTGCCCACAGCTTTCCTCTGGCCTCCGCTGGACAGCATGCTTCTGATGGCTTAGCCCACCGCGCCATAGGAGGCTAAGATGACGGTGGGTGGCACCAGCAGTATAACCACGCGGGCGGGGAACCCGGATGGTGTCTCTGCCGCTGCCGCCGCAGGCCAGCTTGAGCAGCGCGGGGAGCTCGTAGATGAACGGGTCCAGCTGGAGGGTAGGGCAGAGCGGCGACGCGGCCAAGAGCGCGGTTTGGGTGGCGGAGTTGGGGAGGCCTCCCAGCCAGGAAGCGCCGGCCAGTGCGCGGCAGAGGCGGGGCGAGGCGAGCACCGCATAACGGCTCAGCGCCATCACCACCAGCAGGACGCACTCAGAAGATCCCAGGGCCAGCGACACGCACAGCTGCGCCATGCAACCGCCGCGGGGCAGCCTGAGCGCTGATCCATGCAGGTTGGTCAGCAGCGGGCGTACCACGCTGGTGGTGAAGCCGGCGTCCACCAGGGCCAGGGGGCAAAGGAAGTAGTACATGGGCGTGTGCAGACGCCGGTCGCCCATGACCAGCAGCACCAGCTCGCAGTTGCCCATCAGAGTGAGCAGGTAGCAGAAGAGGACGAGAGCGAACAGGACTGGCTGCAGGGAGGGCCAGTCAGAGAATCCCAGCAGGAGAAAGCGCTCCTAGGTGCTGTGGTTGGCCTAAAGGAGGAAAACTTCAAGAATATTTGGGAGGACGAAATAAAGGGTGACACTACTCTTACAAGTAAAGGAAAACCCGGGATGTGGGACTGAGGAAGAACTGAAAGCATACAATAGTACTGATAATACTTTATGGGTGGTAGTCCCATTTACAGACCTGAACCCTTAATTTAGTTACCATGTGCCAGCATTCCTTCTTTTATATATTTACAGCATCCTCTGGGGGAAATAAAACGTCTATTTAATGGATGCACAAATGAGGGCTCAGAAATGCTGATTAAGTTGTTCTAGGGTCATATTGAGTCAGTGGCCTTGTGTGACTTGTACTCAGTCCTGATTTCCAACTCAGTGGTATTTCCAGCTGCCTCCCTATATCTGGTTGCACTCCCAGGGACCAAGGAAGAAATCTGATCTTCCTTCTACCTCAAAGGCCTTCACATTTGTGAAGATAGATTTCACTCTGAGCCTCTTTTCCCCCTTTCCTGGAAATTGTATAGTCCCTAAAAATTAGGACGCTATCCCATGCTTGCCCGAACTAAGAACTTATAGATCAGAATTATCACCTTTCTTGTTTTAGGTGCTTCACGTTTATGGAGTTGGGATCAGAAGAATTTCTGAGCAGACAAAGGCTGTTAGGCCTCATAAAGTGCCTTAACCTTGTTTGACTTATGAACACAAGTGAGACTTCATTAGAGCTATTTCTAAAAAATACCTAAAGAAAAAGAGAACTCAAATCCAATCACTTAGAACCAGACAGGTGATTTATATACCTAAGCTGTTTCCAATAGGACAGACTAAATAGTGTAAATGTATAATTATATTAAAACATTTTCTTTGATTTACTTCTCTGTTTGCCCTATTAAACTCTCCCTCTTGAGTTGCCTCTTTGACTTTACTGAACTACTTCTGGACTGGAGCTGCCTTAATCATGAATAGCTGTTTGTTGAAATAAACTTTAAAATGTTCTTGTGCCTCAGTTTACTTTATTTCTTGTGGTGCTGGGGATGGAACCCAGGGCCTTGTGCATGTGCTCTTCTGTTGAGCTGTGTCCCCAGTTCATCAGTCTACTTTTTAACACAACCCATGATTCTGCTGACTAGTGATGTCTATTCTGTTTTTAATAAAGTCTGCTTTACAGTGTCTCTATGGCTCCTTTTGCAGAACCTGCATGCTAGCCTTGAAACCAAGGTCAACCTGTGGAGGAAACAACACTTTTTGGTAGACCAGAAATTGGGAGGCCTTAGTCCTACCTACCACAGCTTCCTCTGGATGATTATTTGATATGGGGAAGTCACTTCATATTCCTCTGCTTCAGTTTTATCACTTGTAAATTCAGGAGTTTGAACTAGATGACCTTTAAGGTTCTGTCCTATCCCGAAGCTTTATTATCAAGCATTTCTCAAAGTAATGGAAAGGGAATGTGGGGAACAAAGGGATGTCCTCTTAGGGCATTTTGAATCAAATATCCTAATGGTGCAGAAACGATCATGATTAATAAAGTTTACATAGAAATCTTTCTATTGTATGTTTCCTGTCAAATATTATGATATAAATAACTTTAAAAAATTTTTTTGGTGATGGTACTGGGGATTGAATTCAGGGCTTCATACATGCTAGGCAATTACTCTACCACTGAGCTACATCCCTAGCCCTGGATAACTTAGTTAAAACATCACATTCACTGCTTATAATTTAAAAATTATAATCCTACTTTTTTAGGAAAAAACATTCATTTTCCCCAACAAAGCATCTTGCTTATATGTTTCTCTCATTTTAGGCTCATTAGATAGAACAAATATTACTGTGAGTAAAAACAAGGGCTTAGGAACAAGATTGCTTGGGTTTAATTCTGCTGTTTCCCAGCTGAACAACCTTGGACATGTAATTTAACCTCTCTGGGCCCCCAGTTTTCTCATTTGAAAAAGTAGTGGGTGAAGAGTTAAACACACAAAGTACTTAATACAGTACCTGGTACATATAAGGTGTTTATTAAATGTTAATTAGTATTATTTTACAAATCAGGAAACATTTTTGTTTGTTTTGAACCCAGGGCCTCAGACTTGTGAAGCACACATTCTAACACCGAATTAACACTGAATTTCCTCCAGCCAGAAAAAAATTTTTTAAAGGGTTCCCTCATGATATGGTAACAGAACTGATATTAAAAACTTCATATTCCTTTAATATGTTAACATTAATCTTTGTTCATTTGAAAAATAGGCAACAGTCTTATTTTATAGAGGATAGGAAGGTAATCGAAATTAAATAACTTGTCCAAGGTCACATTATGTATAAATATATATTAGGATTTTGACCAATCCCTGACTTACTCCAAGGTCTTTGCCTTCTCTCTCTCTCTCTCTCTCTCTCTCTCTCTCTCTCTCTTAATGAGCTATGTTCTATTATGCTAAAGATTGTGGACGATAAAGGGGATATACAAGGCGTGAACTTTATGTTTTTAGATAATTTTACAGAACTGGGGTCCTACTGGGTATGGATGAAGTACAGGAAGTTATCTTTCAGGTTTCTGAATCAATGGTGGCTAGAAATGTTGAGTTACAAAAAGTCAGGTTCTTTAGTCAGGTAAGTTCCAAAGTGCTCCCCTTCAAATATTTCACACCATGAAAACAGCCACACACTCATAAAATTGCACAGATAACATCCTATTGCATTTGAAAGAAGGCACCTAAGTCTGTGAAACATGGACCCAGGGCAGAGGTGATGATGTCTGTTAGTGCAGAGCCCTGTGGTGGGGTCCAGACAGTGCAAGGGCTTCTGGTGGCAGCCAATCAGCATTAGCTGGTGGTGGGGACAAAATTATCCTTCAGAAGTCTAAGGAATATAGCAGTTGGAGCAAGGGGAAGATGTTGAAGAGACTCTCACTAGGGGGGAAACAAGGGACTCAGCTTACCTGTTATTTAGAAATGATGACAGAGCTCTGGGGAATCTGCATCCTGCTCCCATCAATAATGCTTTCTTGGAGGTGTCCAGAGAGAATTCCCCCAAGATGAGGAAGAGGAAATCTGCAGAGAAGTCCCTTCAGGGCATGATGTCTCTGGCAGGGTGTTGAGGCCAGAGGCAGCATAAGTTCCTTTCATTAACTAGTTTAAAATTTCATTCTTCAACTAAATGACTTTAAACTGGCCTCTTCTCTTCTGTGATTCCCACCGTCATCATCTGTAAGCCATGGAAAACAATGCTGACTTGTCAGAGAGGTAGATCTGTTGCAGTCATTTTCAGTTTTGAATGCGGTTATGACTTATGTCCCCAACTTTTGCCCATCACCCTTCCTTGTTAACATCACCTCCCTCCTCATCCCCTTCTCTTTGGTCTCATTCTCTTTTACATTGGCTCCAGTAAATCTTCCATATTGAAACTACATTTATTAAGAGTTGCAAATGATCTCTGCATTGCTACACCCAATGGATATATTTTTGTTCTCATATTATGTGACAAATTGGGAGCATGTGATAGAGCAGGTCTTTCCTTTTTGGAACACACTTTCTACTTGGCTTCTGCTATGGTGAGGCAGATGCTGACTATCTGGTGAGGGTTTTGCTTTTTGGCATTTCATGGTGGAAGGCAGAAAGGCAAGAGAATGAACACGAGAGAGCAAAAGGCGTCCAAACTCATTTTGTAACAACTCACTGTCATGATAACTCACTTCTGCAATAATGACATTAATCCATTTTCATAAGGATAGAATCCTTATGACCCATTACCTCTTATTAGTCCCCACTTCCCAACAGGCTTACATTTAGGGTTAAGTTTGCAATACATGCCTTTGGGTGGACACATTCAAACCATAGCACCCCATTTGTAATCTGAGTATAATACCTTCCTTTATGCAACGTTGCTGGGAGGATTGGAGATGACATATATAAAACTCCTGACTCAGTAGGAACTCAGTATAGGACAACTCTTCAAAAGAGTGGTGCTTCTGTATATTTCTATCATCCATGTATGGTGTTAATGTTTCCCTGACACTTTACAGTCATCACTAAACATTCTCATTCCAATAAAATATTTGCCAGTCTGACTAGAAAATAAATTTAATTCCATTTTATTTTTATTATTAATGTTGCACTGTATATTTAGCTTTCAGCACCAAGAATATCTAAAATTCTATGCCTGCCTGAGGACCAGGCTTATCAAGCTATACCTGTTTAACTTCTTGTGTACTTGATCAGACTTGATGTTCTATGTCTTGATTACTATGAAACCATTAGGCTTCCCCTCTTCTCCTTAAACACACTAAACTCATGCTAAACATATACTAGCTGTGTTTTCTTCCTGGAATACATTTCCCCTTTTCTTGTCCAGGACTGTACCCTTCTCACTTTTCAGAATATATCTCAAATAGGAGTGGAGGCTCAATCCTGGCTTAGGAGGGGATAAGAAGAAGTCAAGCAGAAAAGTCATGGCAGGAAGGATCTGCAGGTGAGAAATGCAGATGGATGTTGGGAGGTACATGTGGACCCTGTGTATGTTTCCTAAGGAAAAGTGTTAGCTTAGGGTATTTGCCAAGCCCAAAGGGAGTTAGCAATAAATATTTATTATAATGAGAGGAAATCCATCAAATTTTAGGACACTACAGTTAGTAAGACCCTTTATGGCCTTCAACTTATTCCCTGCCCTGCCTTCCAATTCCAAGTTTGGGAGAGGTAAAGACATTGTGGTAAATGGGGGAGGAACATAGAGTGACCTCTTCTCCCAGTTCTTCTGTAGGTGGGCACTAGTTGGGAAATGGAAATGCAAAATATTGCTATAGAATTTTGGTCATTTTATTTATGTAAGTCCATTATTGGGACCAATAGTTACCAAAGAACTTTTATTATCTGAGTTATCTGCCCAATATTGCATCCAGTGGGTTTGCCCCTGGTTTGCCCATACAATAGAGGAATGGAATGCATTTGTTTTCTGGTGGAAATCTTACTCTTTGGAATCCTGCTAGTTTAAGGCATTTGCTATCTTGTCTTATTGTTTCCCCCCACTAGGACATAAACTCTGGAAGAGCAGGTACAAGTCTATTTTACTTATAGCTGTATTTTTAAGTGCTTGTAAATTAAGATGAACAATCTTTCTTCTTTTAGATCGGTATTTAAAAGTACTGTATAAAATAGAGTGAGGCATTATTATGGTTGGTATATATATTTTGGTGTTTCAATAAATTTAAATAATCTTTATTAGATCACAAATTACATCCAATAAATGCATTTATTTAAAAGTACAGTCCAATGATTTTGATATTCTATGAAAACACTGCAGTTAAAAAACTACATAATTTTCTTATCACCCCCAAATGTTCTTCTTACCCCTATCCCTCTTATCAAGGGGATTTAATCCCAGACAACCACTGATCTTTTTTTTTCATGCTGGGGATTGAACCTAGGACTGTATAGAGGCTAGGCAAGTGCTCTGCCACTGAGCTACACCCCCCGCCCATGATCAACTTTCTTTCACAATGGTTTGCATTTTCTAGAACTTCATATAAAGGACTCACATTATGTGCTCTTCCATGACTACTTTATTTCACTTGGTAATCTTCTGAGATTTTTCCAGGTTGCTTCATGTATCAGTCGTTCATTTCTTTTCATTACTGAGTGGTCTTCATTGTATGATGTATTGTAAGAAATTTACTAGATTGACTTATACCAGCAAAGACTGAATGGTCCCCCAGTGGCCATGGACAGGCTGGAGAGCTAGAGACACAATAACTTTTCAGTCCAAGAAGCTGGAAATTCAAATAAGAAGGACCAATGATGCACCATTATGAATAATTGTTGCTGTGTTTTGATTGACTTAGGGCGTGAGAGAAGATGGTGAAGGGATTGTCCTCAAAGAATCTCTTGTTACACAGGAAAGGTAAGGTTGTTCTGTGAAGTTGCAGGGTGAATAAGTGGTAATTTCCGAATCTGGAGAACTAATCTGCTTTTCTATATCTAAACGTAGATATGAGCAGGTGGACAGAGATATTTTCAAGTATACAAACTTTTATTTTTATTATTTTAATTGAAGGACAAAGGATTGAAGAAGGAAAAGTTCTATTGTTCTTGTTCCTGTCCTGTCTACAGAACCTTCTTCTCAATTCACTCCAGTTTGTGTAAACACCCTTTTTCCTCTTAAAATCTATGGACATTGTCATCCAAGTTTAGCTTTCTAAACAACCTCTCGGTTCTTTGCTTCAGCCCTTAGAAATCACTCAGGCCAGCTCCTTTTTCTTTCCACTCTCATTCATTTCTCTCCTGGCTTTGCTCCTCTCCTGTCTTTCCCGTTTCCAGTATTCCTTCAAAGAGTTCTCTGCTTGGATTGCAGGATCAACCAGCTTCCCACAGTTTCCCGTTTTATTTTCGCCATCTCACTTCTCATTTCTGCGGAGGGTATAAAGGCGCCTTGAGGTCGCCCAACTCCCGGGAGGGAAGCTAAGCGAGAAGTTGGAGAGAAGGGTTAAGACCACCGACGTCAGTCCTCCAGCGCATCCCAGAGGGACCCGTTGCCCCGCGTGGTGGGGGTAGGGCCGGGAGGTGGAGCTCCCGCGATCTACAAGTCTCCCTGGCAGCGGCAGCGAGTTCCGCTTTGCGGTTTTTTTTTTTGTTGTTGTTGTTGATGTTGTTGTGCAGCCCGGATGGAAATGTAGGCTTGTGGGATTGATGGGCATTTTAATAACAATCATTGTTGCATTTCATTACTTTTCAGGATTCTTTGAACATCGTATGTCTTGGCTTCCTATAAGAACGTGCTGCAGCGAGCCTATTTTCCTGCTGAAAAAGCCCAGGAAATCAAGAGAGTTTCTCCAGTGGATATTGGAAAGGACATTCAGTTGTGAAGATGAGAATATAGAAAATCTGGAGAAGGAGCATAATGTTTATGAGGGAGTGTTGAGTGATTTATTTTTGATATTTGATGTTTTGAAATATTTTTTGATCTCTAAGCATAGGTAGAAAATACAGAATTTTAGTAATTAGGAGAAGGCAGGTTTGCAAGAATCATTTCACATATGATTATGGAGAGATACTGAGGTTTTCTTTCTTCTTTCTCTTCACCTTTTAAATAGATTTTATTTTTAGAGCAGTTTTAGTTTCACAGTAAAATTGTGCAGAAAGCACATTTCTTAAATTCCAGGAATACTTTCCCCTCTTCAGTCTCACCCACTCTCAATAGCCCACTCCAGAATCATGGTTTGCTATAGTTGATGAACCTACATTAACATATCATTAAAGCCCATTGTTTATGTTTGGGCTTTTTCTTGGTGTTATACATCCTATGGGTTTAGAAAAACATATCATAGTACATACCAACTAATTTTATGGACTTATAAATTCTCTTTGTTCCCTCTTCATCCTTCCCTTTCCCTTTATAGCCCTTGGTAACCTCTGATATTTTCACTGTCTCCACATTTTGCATTTTCTGCAAGGGTTTTAAGGAAGATGGATTGGAAGAAGACAGAGGTGAAAGCAAAATAAATAAGAGGTCATGAGTAATGAAAAATAAAGCAATAGATCATTGAAAGAAGGAAAAGTATTGGGAAAAGGTATCATGGAAAACTTAAGTATCTCAAAGGGAAATAGAGATGGGATTTACTAGTGATACCAGGAAATTTAAAAAGGAAGATGGTTATTGGAATTTTATAAGAAGTAGGAATTATAGCATACCAGATATCGATTGAACTGTCCAGTTTGATATTTAATAGGAATATAGAAAGTTTGAAGAAGAATGGAAATTCAATAAAGTTGCTGCGTGGCATTCAGACTAGGCACAACAAGTTACCTGAATAGTCCAGCTAGAATATGAGGCTTCTGCCAAGAGATCAGTTGCCTATTGAAGAAGAACTAATCACCTATTTGTTAGACATCATCCTGTACTGGCAGGATTTTACAGATCTACCTTTGCTTTTCTAACTTTGTCCTTTTCTCAGCTGATCCCTATGGGGCATGAAAATGTGGCAGTATAACAACTGTGGACTCCAGAATTATCCTAGAGGGAATGGAGAAACAGAAGTGTTGGAGAGCCATCTAAGACTCCTGCCCCAAGAAGTCATTTTTGCTCTTGGTAAATCTGTCATTCTAGTTCTCTGATAATGGGTTATGTTGATTTCTTTTTGGTCTTCTTTGAGTACTAATAAGAGTGTGGCAGACTGGCTGAAAGAAAAACTAAAAGAATTATTACTGGTTTAC